TTTGGAGATGCATGAACTATAGAAAATTTGTCAACTAAGTCAAATGCTTTAGTTGAATCTTCCTTTTTATTGTTATGACTTGAAAATACAGATAAGGTGATAGATGAGGAGAAAAGACATAATTATATATGTGATTATGAATAATATTGGAACCATATCAAAATCAATGCCTTTATATTGCCTTCAAGTTTGTTCTCAATATATTTTGTTTTGTCAAACAAAACTAAGTGTAGTTGTACTACATTAAGACAACTACTACACTACATTATACTTGGAAAAAACAAAAAGACCTTTGATCTTAAAAGTCTTTACATTTTTTTTTTCTCTCTCTCTTTTTATATTGAGTGTTTCTATTTTATCCTATGTAAAAGAATGTAACTTTGGGTTCATCACCATAGGTAAAGATTTGATTGCTATTAATTTTTCCTTTCTGGTTTTGAAGGGAGTGTGGGGAACGGAGAGAAACAGAGATAGGTATTTTTGGATAGAGTCTGGCTATGTGCTGATGCTCGTAACCCAACATCCCAATTAGCTGGGATTACAGTGGTGTTCAGCACGTTCAGGTCAGCCCAGGAACTGAACTCGGGCCTCTGGTACAGTCTCTGATTTTCCTAAGCAATAACATTACCTGTGCATCCTTAAGGCTGGGTCTTATTGCTATTAGAGTGTTTTGTTTTAGGTTGTTTTATTTATTTCTTTTTCTAAAAAATATAAACATAAGATGATGAATCAGAACCTCTTCTAGCTTCTGTCTTGCAGAAACTCCACAAAACTCTGCTCAATTAAAGGAGTCTGATCATTTTTACTCCATTCTTTAAAGTTTTCAGTGGTCCAGTCATTGTCTGAATGAACCATCTGGGAAAGAACAAGGCATTTTATTCAAAGATTTTCAATCCGCATTCAGAAAAAGAAAGCAAGAGACAGGAACTAATACTTTAATAACCATATATCAAAAACATATTAAATGAGAACATAAAATTTCATTTCTCCTGTCTTAGTCCTACGATGTGCACAGCACACACTTCTCCTGCCCCATGAATTACATTGCCATCAGTGTATATAACTTCCTTCCTGGATGCACTAAGTCTCCTTTGAATAATAATAATAATCATTTATACATCTTTGTGTCCTTGTTGGTTAGCCCAGAGCTACCGCAACTTAATAACTGCTATTATTGTCTATTCTCTTCTCTGAACTCAGTGGAGGCTTGAAAGACATTTCATTTAAGTATCAATGAGCCCAGTATAATAATCATATTTGGATCCATGTTTACAAATGAAGAACCCAAAAATCAGAAAAGTAAAGCACTTTATTCATTAGTAGATGTTTAGTAAATGGTATGACACAGATTAAAACACAAGTGTGACTCCAAAACCAGTGAGCTCCCTGTTACACTGCATTGCCTGCCAATGTATGCTAGATACTATGTCAGATGCTTTACATACACGTTTCTCATACTTAGTCTTCATTTTTGAAAGTTAGATATTGTTACTGCCCCTTTACAGAGAAGCAACTGTGATTTAGATAAACACACATGGAAGTTAAATGTTAAATGTTTGTAGACTGAAGGAGTCCAGTATTTGCAAAGTTTTATAGCTTTGAGAGATAGTCAAAGACAATAGAGAGGAAACTCATGTGGGTTTAAGTCCTGGCTGCATCTCTTATCAGCAGCCAAATGCCAAATGTGTCACATTAATCTTTTTAAGCCCTGGTGTCTTTTTCATAATTTCTTCAAAACATGGTTACTTGAATTATTGATTTCAGAAGGTAGATGTATACCATGCACCTACTGACAATATTTGTAAAATCACCAAAGAGTCCTTTGTTTATAAAGATATCTCTAGATTATTTATTATACAAATTCTGAGCGATAATTTTTGTTAAAACAATTAACTCTAAAAATCACATGAATTATCTTGTCTTGAGAGGATTCATAATTATTTTCAAGCAATAAAGACAGATGGGGTATAGCTTGACACAGTCACAATAGGCTTGGTTATGCTGTTTACAACTCCAAGTTCTCAAATGTTTACTCAGGTAAAACAATCTCCAAACTGGGTAACTCTTCAGGAAAGCTGACCTCCATGTGCTGCCAATACTCTGTAATTTTTTCATCTCATGATTGCTAAATAAGCACCAGTCACAAAATGGCAATTCAAAGTTTTCCCTGGGGTGGAAAACATAGCTTGTACTCACATTTTATTGGTCAAACCAAGTCATATATCCATAGCTATCCTAAAGAAGTGAAGAAAGTGCAGTATCCTCAAAAGGAGGATAGAAATTTGATGAACTCTACAATGACTACTGTAATAGGAAAGGAAAATATATTTGTGCAGAATTTTATACTTGATAGGTGCTTAAGGAATGCCTTGCTTCAGTTTAAAGATTAAGGATACTACCAAACTCCAGAATTAAAGAATTTAAAACAGATAGTAGTTAGGTTAAATTGATTTATCTTTATTTCTACATTTAAAAAAGAGTGAAAATATTTCTGTTTTTGTCTCCGTTTTACTAAAGAGCTAAATGAGAAAAAAATCAATTAATGTTATTGAATAGTCCCCCAGCATTCCGGAAGAGACTGACAGGAAGAATTGTCACAATTGGGAAAATATCAGTATGTCTGTTATTCTATATGTCTTCAAGTCATAATGGTACTTGGAGAAAAATGTTATCCTTTGGAATAAAACAGGTCAGATAGAAATATTTCATGTGTGCTCCGATTTTCCATAGCAAAGTGCTTTTACAACCCTCTAATTCCATTCTCATGTGAACTTTGAAGTTGGCAGGGCAATTGTCCCTTCCCTATTTTACAGATGAAGTGACTAAAGTCCAAAGAGGTCAAAGCCATACTCATGTTTACAACTATTTAAATAGCTGAGCTGAAAACAAAAGTCAAAATCCTTGACCTTCAGCCCAGTTCTCCTTCCATGATAGAATTTCATCTAAACGTATAACCAGAGGAACCTAAGTTCATTTGCTGAGAGAACCACCATAGAAGCAAATCGTTCTTAAATAAATTTAAGTGCGAATATCTGTTGCAATAGCTTCAACTTAACTGGGCTTGCACAGAAACAATCTACCAACTTGGAAACCTACTGTGCAAGACAAGTTGAAATCAATTCAAGGGATGTTTTACAAATATGACTCAACCTACAGGTAGACCAGAAATAAATAAAATATAACAAGCTTACTGAGTCAGGTTCATGCTGACTTTCAGCTCACCTGAAATAGGTATGACTTTCATATCTGACATTGGCTTTTACTTCCTGAACCACACAGCTTTAGGTAATACAGGTGGCAGAAAACAGCCATCTACTTGAATTAGCGCCTATGTCAGTTCACATAGCCATGCTGTGTGAACGCATCACTCACGTCTGGGGAAACCTCAGAAGGCTTCAAATGAAACCAATGATTTTAAGATGGGTAGACACTGAAATTGTCTGACATAAATCAGAGGGAAATGTCTTTGGATTATCTAGCCAGAGAAGCAATGCTGACAAAAATAAATAAGCCCCCTAGCCACTTTTTGTCAATTTGGTTGTCGCTCATTTTGAAAGCTAGAGGACTCATCTCCTCGTACTGTTTAAACATCATGACAATCTCTATTTACTAAATGGGAAAAAACATAATTAATTCCTAAGTGCTGCTTCTCATCTTCATGGCATTTTAACCCAGCTTCTAGCAGAATTGCCTATGCAAAAGAGGTACATTGTTTGGCAGTGCTTCTGTTTATGAGTCTGCAGTCTCTTCCTTTGGGAAATGGTAATGATGATTATATTTAGTTGAAATATTACAAGTGAAAGACAAACAAGGCAGCACAAACAAATGATGAGAGGGGGTATTAGCAATAAAACACTGAATATTGGAGACATTCCTTTGATTAAGGGTATGCCAGGTTGTCCATCTGGGGTCACATTTGATTAGCTAACTTAATCTGATTAAAAGGAAGTTGCCATCATATCTCATGTTGTTTAGTATTAGAGAAGAAAAATAAAAGAGGAAAGAGCTCATTCAAACACAGTTGAAGTTAAAATTTTATCAGACAAAATGTTATTGTTTTGTAAATGTTAAACAGAGCAGCCTGTAGTAAGTTAGATATGGGCATGTTTGGTTCGGTCAGGGAATTCTCCTCTTTGAAAAAAAGAAAAAAAAAAGGAGAACAAGAAGGAACTAACCTTTGAAAGTATTCTATATAATGAGCACTTTACCTAATTTTCATAGTGGCCCTAAATGTAGGCATTATTACCTCCACTTGACACTCGACACTTGCCAAAGGTAATACATATGTTAAGCCATTGACTTTATTGATTTTCTACTCAGTTTGATTCCAAAGCACATGTTATTTTCTTTACACCACGTGGACACAACAGTCTTTCAGTTTTCTATAAAGATATATGTAATTATTTAAATGAAGAGATTCATATATCACATTATATACTACATTCTACAAAGCTTGAGATTGGTTAATTAATGAAAGAACATACTTTACAAACCACTATCTAGAATAAAATCTTTAGTTTCCCACTATCTAAGCTATCATTAAGGAGACTTTATTTTCCAGTATTGTGTTTCTCAATATAGGAATCATTATTTACCGCATGCTCTGGCAGGCCTACAAAGGAATCATCACTACCAATCAAAACGAAGATGAATTTATTCTGGGTATTTAAATTTTTAAAAGTTTAATAGAAACATCATTCAGAAAAATTAGCACTCTGACACATGTTCCTATATACTTTAAATTATGTTTAGAGTCAATATAATACCTAACGCTAAGCTTGGTACAAAAGTAATTGTGGTTTTGCATTGTTGCAATTTGCTGTTTGATATTGGATATATTCTTGAATAAATGTGGTTATATTATTTAAAAAATAGTACTCTGTTCTTATTTGCTATTTGAAGACAGCAAACCCTAGAGATCTTAAAATGTACTCTTCTAGTATTTGAATGTTTGTCCTAAGTTAAATGTCTGCACTGAGAGATGCAGTTCTTGATTTTACCTGAAGATGGCATCCATCCCAAAGCTGTATGTGATTTCTATGAGGAGTCTCTTTAAATTCGCAAACACTGTCATAAATTCTTTTCTACTGACTGGAAAATTTGTGCCATGAATGGTAAATGATTCTTCTTTAAGTGACAATACATTAATATGTTCTTCAGATGGTTGAAGATACACCTCTTCTTGGGCTGTGCTGATTCTCAAGTCATTTCCCTAAAGGGAAAAAGAAGGTATAAGAGAATAAAACTAAAAAGAAGTTACAAATGTATAAAACGTATCTGCATTTGCATTCTCCACCCTGTGGCATATCTTCAGTAAGTTTTTAATTTTAGGTGGGCTTTCCCTGTCATTTCACATATTTCTGGTCTATGTGATGAGAAGGAGCTATAATTTAAATATTAGCTTCAGCTGGATGCATGAGACGCAATCTTCTTGGTTTTGAATGAATTTACTTCCCCCGTCAGCTAAAATAGTAGATACCTTGTAACTTATAAACATATATGCGATTACAAATACCTTGATTTTACAAAAAGGCATGAAAATTATGTATTTCCAATATACTATTTTATGATAGCTGTCTATTGTATAGGACTGTTGGAAGGAAACTTACAAATGTATTAAGTTTTATTTTAGAAGACTTTCACAGGAGGAAAAGAAACAAGACAAAAGTTTGTGCTCTCAAATAGGATCTATCAACAGACCTATAACATTTCAGTTATGTTAGTTCATTCATATACATGATTTATAACTTCTCAACATTTTTATATTTAGAGAACCCCCTTTTATCTCAAAGGAATTCCAAGATAAACAAGGGATCTTCAAAAAGTTCACAAAAAAAAATCTATTATGAAAAACTATGCATGGATTTTAATTTTTTTCATCAAACTAAACTCATACTTTAATTTCATTTTCACTGAACTTTTTGAGGTCTGTGTGTGTATGTGTGTGTATAAATAATTAAAATCAGGACAACTTTATCCAACTCTGGAAATACTAATTTTGAGAAAGGATCTTTGTCATCTTCTCATTGATTCACATTCATAAAAATTTCAAGATAAAGAACAATAAAACCTGATGCTAAATCAAATCTATTAATTTCCACTCATGGACAAGCATATGTGTTGTGCCTTTGAGAAGGGGAGAGTATACATTCTTGGAAAGAATATAAGAAAAGGTCAGAGAATGCCTCTAAGTTAACGTTAGGCTTTCGGCATTTGGAATTACCTTTAGCCTTCTATATCCTGAAACTAGTTTCTCCTATATCTTTCTTATCTAAATTAGGATTCTGGAATGAAGATTTAACTATAGCTAAAGAAACAACCATCCTTTTTCATTTATTTCTGCCTAATACAAACAAGAAAGTAGACAATAAAATAGCCATAAAAACAAGTGGGGATGGAAAAAATACAACTCTGTAAATTGACATCCAGCTAAACACTTTCAACATAAACTATGTTCTCGGAAATAGTCATCATTGGGTTTTAAATGCAAATTTCAAATCTGATCTAAAGGTCTCCTTTACCACTGAAACCCAATGAAGATATTTACTCTTATAAATATGGCTCAGAGTGAAACAAGAAGTAGCATTAAAAACATTTTCTATAGCATATTTTCTTTACTAGCATGCAAAGTAAGATCAAACTAACCAGGTTAAGAAATAGCCTGGCTGACCTCAGATAACATAAAGGGTAATATGGTTGAACATGAATAATACTCCCAATGCTCTACCTCTAAGATAATCATAAACTGGAGAAAGCGTTCTGTATCTTCTTCCTCTTCTTCAACGTCATATGATATGGAAAATGTCAGTTGTCCTCCAACTGCTGAGAGCTGTAAGAAAGGGGATGTATAATCATTATGAAGTAGGATATGAGCTATTAAACCATGCTGTACTTACTACTTTAAAATCATCTTAGTTTTCTGGTGGATAGTATTCAGAAGAAAAAGAAATCACTGGGATGCAGAGTGAGAATGATAGACATTTTCTTAGCAGTAACCTTTATACGAACCTTACCCATCAACTGCAGGCTTGACATAAATATAAATTCATGTATTATTTTCCCCAGTGCTGCAAACTTGCTGAAATAGGTTAAACTTCATGAAACCAAACACGGTCCCTCTGCCATCTTTTTAGTCTATAGTCTGAGCTTTACATTTCCCAATGAGAAGCATCTTTGTCAAAATTAAGGGATTTCTACTCATCCCTGAGGGTCACTCCCTTTCTGTGGGTCTGAATGCTTTCAACAAAGACATCCTCTATTTGATAGGCACTTTACATAGACTATAAGCTGAGCTGGGAAATGTTATTGGTCAAAGAAAAATAAAAGGTGAGCAGAAAAATTTGTATATATTAAAATTCAATCAAGACTGCCGAAGAAGGTATTCTTCCTGTGCAGTCCAATAAACTGCGTTCAAATGAATGTCATTATCCCCTTTTCATTAAGCAAACTTCTTTCCTTCTAACATACATGCCAAGTTTCACACAATGTATGCTCTAGGTTTACATTTTCTGACATTGACAGTAACCTTGTAGAAATGAAAAAAAAAAAAAAAGGAAAGCAAGATCATTTATAGGACAGGAATCAAAATCGGAGCTGTGAGTGACAGACTCAATGCAAATACTGCAGTCCTTTGTTAAGAATTCCACTCCAGCACTGTAAATAAAGATATCCATAAAACAAAGCTGATGATTTGTATTCTGCTGTTTGCTCCATGCTGACATGCAGAGACCCAGCTTTGCAGCCAATGGCTTTCCGTGGCCTTTCATGGAAGACCCTGACCAGAAAGTAATTTCTGGCATACACTGGATAAAGAAGAAGGAACCCTATTCCTACAGAATTCCTCCATAGGGAATGGCACATTGCTATGGCTGATTAAACAGGATTTCAAATTGCAGCTCTGCAATGTCTTCAAAGAGCTCATTACACGGTGCTCTATAAGGAACTGAAATTCAGAAAACTTTTATTCCCTTGCTCCACTGAGAAATGGTCCTATGCTAATATCTTTTTTGTATATAAAATAATAAATATCTGCCTGGACTATAACATTTGGCATTATTGTGAGTAATGAGGGGTGAGCCTATGTAAAAGGTTTTGTGTTCTATTAAATAAGCATGCAAAATTTCACACAGCATGGTTGTTCAAATCAACTAGACATTTCTGCACTAAGGGAAGTCAAGAAAGCAGCAGAAAAAAAATTGTTTTATGTGTTTTAAAGAGTTGAACTATTTAGAATTTTTTAGTTAATGAAAATATTTAGTAAGAAGTAGAGATTAAGTTTGGGGAGAACATTGGGGCATAGATCTATAAGATTACAAACTTTTTATGCTTCTAAATATGTTGCAATTATTTAAACTTTGGATTCCATTTTATTTTTTTCCCAGAATGTGCTTCTTTGCAAAATATTAGCTTTGGGACCAGTAGATGGCATAATGTTAGTCACTGGACTCCCACATGGCTGACTGTGTTTTCAGTCTAAGTCCTGGCAGCTTGATACTCATGCCAGGCACGTGTGCATGCAAGCCCCAAATCCCCAAAGGAGTATGGATTGCAGCATGGCCTTTTCCCCTGGGGATGTGATTTCTTGCTTTTTGTTTCTCTTTCTTTCTCTTTTGCTTCTCTTTTTTTCTGTCTCTCCAGCAAGTACATACACCCTATAGCAAAAAACTTAAGTTTATTTGGGAAATTACCATGAAAATACAAATATAATGAATTTTGAATTGAATAAAATAATTTCCCACTATCTTTATGATAAAAAGCAAAGTATGTGTGATTTGAACATTGCAGATATTAAGGTTATAGATGAAGGAGAAAAATGTTCACTTACAGTATTTGACTTATTAATGTAGTTTCCATACTGCTTTGGATATGGTTTGTCCCCCTAAAAGTTTCATGTGCTAGAAGCTTACTCTCCAATGTAAGACTGTTGAGATGTGGTGGAACCTTTAGGAGGCGTGGCCCAATGGACACTGCTGGGAACATGGGAATACCTCTATCATGAAAAATTAATACCACTTTAGGGGAGGGAGTGTACACGTGCATGGATTAGTTTCTATGAGAGAGGTTTGTTATTAAAAGTATGATGGCTTCTGTAACAAGTTACTCTCTCACATCTGCCCCCTGACCTTTCCACTCCTCTCCACTAGGTTTGATACACAGAGACCAGGTAAAGGCTGCCTCAGGTCTTTGGATGTTCCAGCTACTGGGATCAAGAGACAAATAAATCTTTATTCTAATAAATCACCCAGCCTGGGATATTTCTGTTTAGCAACACAAAAACAGATTAAAACATATACATAGTTACAATATTTTTGAAGTCACATAATACATAAAATAATGTGAGAGCAAAACAAGAGGAGGGAATTGAGGGGAAAAGAACAAATAAATGTGTAAAATAAGAGAGGAGGTTTATGCAGTGATAATATAAAACATAAACTAAAGAATAGAATTAATTTACCTTATTCCAAGGACACATGTACTCACAGGAGAGAGACAGGGAAATTTAAAACTGAGAAAGCACCTACTTTGGAGAATGGTCACATCTCAATCTTTCTTCTCCATTTCTCCCTCGTTTTGGGATTCTTGATCCACACTACATGTGCTTAGTGTTTTTTGAGGTTGCTGGGTCCAGAACTCTAACCACACAGTTAGCCGTGTGGGATCCAGCTGCTTTGACTGCCAGGCCATGAGCTGGCCTGAAAAATTGTATTTTTCACTCGTATTTGTGAGATGATTTTTTTTCTAAAACACTTTATAGTTCATTGATATCCATACTTGGGCATAATTAGAGTATTTTTGTATTATCTTATGATTTCCATGAGTGAATCCATTTAAAGTCTCCCAATAGTATGAAAATCAGACTATTTGGGGGTCAGCAGATGGTGTAATGGTTATGTCAATAGACTCCCACATAGTCGACTACAGTTTGAATCCTAGACTCAGTGCCTTAAAATTCATGCCAGGCATTTGTGTGTATGTGCCCAAAATCCCAAGAGGAGAACGGAGGAGAAGGGATTGTGGCATGGCCATCTCCCCCCACTCCCTGGGGTGTATGTGATTTCTTGCTTTATGTATCTCTGTCTCTGTCTCTCCCACAAGCACACACAACTTATAGCAAAAAACTTTTTTAAAAATCAGACCATTAAAAAAAAGAATATAATACTATTATCAATTGTTTTATTTTTAAGCCACCACTTAGAAAATATTAAAATAATTGTCTTTTTAATTTACCTTATATATTTATGATCACATTTATATAACTACTTGGTCAAGTACTTATTTAAGTAATTTTTTAAAGGATTACTTAAGATGATCAATTTGTTGGACTGGCTCAGCAGTATAGCAGTAACATGTTGCTCAAGCAATCCTGGATCCATACGGGAGATTGTGAGTTCAGTTCGCTCATCCACCTGTACACTCTGAGAACACCCATGCTCCTGACTGGCTGGGAAGCTGAGTGTTGCAGGGAGGGAGGAGGGTGTGTGCTGTGAGACTCTGTTGTGAGTGCTTATCTTTCGGTCACTTTCATGAAAGCAATAAATACACTTATATACATATATATGTATGTACGTAAATTACAGAATATATTTAGAAATTCTTCCCCTAAGTGTAACAGCTTATTCTCTAATAAATTTCATCACTGCCTTTTTTCCTTCTGCTCCAGAAAGTATTATCATAACCCATAAAATCAAGCATTTCCTGGTGTTGTTCCCAGCTAATATGACTTCCCTAAAGGGTACATACCATTGTTTAAAAGACTTAGTCATAAATCAATTATAACACCTTCTTTTCTGAGGGGTATTAGTTTTTGGGAGAAAGATCTTAGAGTATTCAGAGTATAAGTTGTCTTTTACAACAATTTTAGATAAAGAATTCTCTGCTTCTTTTTCATCTACCTACTCCTTCACACTCCAGATACAACCTTCCAGGTGCTTGGCTCCTCCTGGCCCTTGCTTCCACACTCTCTTATAACCTCATCAGGACCCTAATTTTATCCTCTCCATCAAATCAAATGTGCACAGGAGGGGCAATCATCAGTTGAATTTACTGCTTCCTCCGGCTATTATCTATGGTTGTTTATTAGTTTCACTGTCAAACTGAGATTTGAGGTTTTAACTGCACTCATTTTCTTTATTCCTATCTATGCTTTTTTCTTTTTTTTAAATTTAGTTCTTTTTTATTTATTATCATAATCTTTTTTATATTGCATAGAATCACATGTAACTTTATAGTGTGTTACATTTCTTTTTCCAGAAGGAATATCATGCATATCAGTCAATACAAAGACATTAAAATCCTCATAATCCTCAAATAGCTTTTCATTATTTTTTCCAGATTATTATTATTGCTGTTCCAATTATTTTTTTAAATATTTAATCACTATTTATCATTTTGCTTATAAAAAGGCTTTACCCAACATGAAATACTTCTCAGACCTGTCCAGTTGAGAATACTATACACATCATCATCAACAGGTAATAAACCATTTCTGTGTCCCACTAATGTCATGCCTCTCTATTTGTTCTCTTGCTATCCTTCTCCATCCTCTTCTCTTCTTCCATCCCATTCAACACTGTCTTCATCTTCACTATTTTCACTGCTTTTATGGCCTCCAATATTTTTATCTCTACCATAAAGTGTGGATGGTCAGTATATATCAAGTGGATACATACAATATCTTTCTTTCTCAGCCTGACTTGCTTCACTCAGCAAAAGATCCTCCATATCCGACCACTTTCTATCACATGCCAGGGTCTTCTTGTTTTTTTTATGTCTGAGTAGTATTCCACAGAGCATATGTGCCACACTTTTTCAACACATTCATCAATTTAT